TCTGTGACTCCACAGACCGTATCTGCGCTACTATGTTTGCATATCCTAATCTCTCTCATAAAATGAGATTATCTCTCTGTATTCAAGCTTTACGAGGTCGTTTGTTTATCTTCTAGACCAATATTAAAAACCAAAACAGCAACATAAATGCATGTTTATTAATGTGTTTACAGGTAAATACTGAAAGTCTGACCATTTCGAATAAAAAACACAAACCTAGTTCACAAGACACCAATAGGCTTAAGATCTGTGATAAACATCGCGTTAACTGCAAATGTTTTCTTTTCTTTTCCAAATTCTTCTTAATTTTTCCATTGCCGATTCAATATCAGAGGCGTGTAAAAATAGCGTTTTAGAGGTATATTTTGTTCATAAGAAAAGGAAAGATACCAGAATATAATAGAGGAATGTTCACCATCGAGATGAATAATAATCTTTCTCTACGTTAAACGAGTAAAAGGAAAGAGACCACTACTCTGTCATTTTACTAATTTGCTAGATTAGTAGAGGTAATTAAATATAGCTCGCACGCGCAAGTTCTCAAAACGAGCGAGAATAGGGCACAGAATATTCCATAACGGCAGCTCCGAACCAATTAAGAAAACATCACTCCTATCAGTATGAAAGGCTGGGTGTTACTAAAAAGGAATTCACGAAAGCTTCTGTGGTTTTATGTAACGTACATTCCTGAGCTACTTCCCGAAATTTCGTGGGGAATTACAAGGATCGATCATTTTTCCTGGAGAAAGCAGACGTTGTGCCGCCGATAGAACTAAAGTAACCGTCCCTCTACTCATTTTCTTTTCTATGGTTAATTTTTTCTTTTTTCGATTTTGGAGCTATTTTCATTTGTTTGTTGTTTAAATTTTTATGTTATGTTATTTTGTAGCCGTTTTCAGCTATTGCATTTTTATTTCTTGTTGCGTTATACTGTTACTGTTTTCTACCTGTATGCCATGTTATTTGTTTTCATTTGTTGCGTTATCCTGTCGCTGTTGCTATTTTGTTTTTGTTTTTATATAAATTGTTAAGTCATTTTATTTCGTTTTTTTTCTGCTTTCTTTTTTTTTCACCTGGTGTGTCAAATGTTAAGTTATGTTCGCCAATTATCAATTAAAGGCTTTTACTTATATTTCTTAATAGTATAAATATATACCTGATGATGACA